CATAAACAGTGTGGCGTCATTGGTAAAGATGTCAATCAAATGGCATTTCATCCACCCAGATGCTTTGTGTTTAGTCTGATGTTTTAAAGCTCGTTGATGGAATTTTCACTCCAACAGCTGATGCGATTCCGCCGGTGGTGACCAGCTTTCCATCAGACATCACTATCACCGTGCCCTTTGGAACCACGAGCGCTGTTGTCAACTGGGACGAGCCGTCGTCCACAGATAACTCTGGCACATCCACTGCAAGTTCCAACTTGCCCTCCGGAAGCACCTTCCCCGTCGGAACCACGCCCGTCACCTACACCTTCACTGACCCAGCCGGAAACACGGCCACCCAAACATTCACCGTGAATATCATCATGCTGCGTGAGTATCCCAAGTCTTTGAAGAGATGCAAAAAAACCGCATTACGATTCACTGAATTCCCTCTTGAGATTTTTACGGTCAAATATTCACGGCCAATTTGCTTGTATCACACAGCCGACACTGAGCCACCCAACGTCCTCACTTTCCCCGAGGACATCACCTTGACCGTGCCATTTGGAACGACCAGCACTGTGGTCAACTGGACACCCCCAACGGCCAACGACAACTCGGGCACGGTCAACACTGTCTCAGACGTTCAACCAGGAAGTTCTTTCCCACCAGGAGAAACTCAAGTGACCTACACATTCACAGACCCAGCTGGAAACACTGTGAATCGTGTCTTGAACGTCAATGTTGTGGTTCTATGTAAGTGTCGAGGTGCTTCCCTGTGTCGATATTTGACGGTCAGTGTATCTGTTCACATAACTTAGCGGGCGCAATCAGTCAATTGAAAATACACCCATTACATGTATACTGTGCACCTAGTGCATGAATGTCGTGCATCGACTAACCCAAATACACTCCAGCATCCAGCGACTGCAGCTTTTGACCTTTTTGCCATTTTGCAATCTACCATCAAACAGGATTTGTTCATGAAATTGGCAAGTATATGGGTATGTTTTTAAAAATCTTGTTTAGTTGAAATGTGATTGTATGTTACCGCGTCTGGCTTTTCTTACAGCGGACACCACGCCACCAGTCGTCACCAGTTTCCCAACTGATGTCACCGTCACAGTGCCTTTTGGAACTGACAGCATCCCGGTCACCTGGGATGAGCCCACATCAACCGACAACTCGGGAACCTCTACCCAGAGTACCAACATCCCCTCAGGGAGCACTTTCCCCGTGGGTACAACCCCAGTCACATACACCTTTGTCGACCCGGCCGGTAATTCGGTGACGCGGACGTTTGATGTTACAATCATCATGCAGCGTGAGTACATGCATCAACGTTAATCAAAGACGAAGTTAATTTTTTCAGAAAAGCTGGGGCAAGGGGAATACTTGACGAGCTTTCAGTCTTTTGTGAAGTATGCGCAGCGGTGAATGCAAATCCAGTAGATCTAAAAACATAGCATCAGGGTTTGGAGACTCTGTAGATCGGGTCCAATCTCTCTGCCTTAGGAAAGTGCACATGTAAACAAAACGCGGCAACATTGTTGAAGGTCTGTTTTTTTCAGGCACCTGATCAGCGGCTATTTACAGGCTGTTGAAATGTGTTCATTTCCACTATTTCCAAATGTGCCTAAAGGGGATTTCAGCTTCCCACTTCCACAGATTGTTTTGCAATCACCTCACAATGTTGTTTGTTTTCTTTTGTTTTTAATTTTCAAAATTTCACAGCTGATTCTGAGCCACCATCTGTGCAGACCTTCCCCAATGACATCACTGTGACAATTCCCTTCGGGACCCCCAATTCCGTTGTCAATTGGCCCGTGCCAACAGTGACCGACAACTCGGGCACGGTTAGCGTCAGTACCAACCAGGAGCCAGGGACGTCTTTTCCCATCGGCTCAACTCCGGTGACGTACACGTTCACAGATCCCGCCGGAAATACAGTCACGCGTACTTTCACTGTCAACGTTGTAGAACTGCGTAAGTCTGAAGCATCTTATTTTGGAAAATAGTGACACGTTACGTTGATATTGCATTTTAGTCTCGCATGATAGAGCAAGGCATACGCCATTTTGTCCAGTGAATGTGGTCATGAAATTTGTGGTTATTTTTCCAACAGCCGACAGTACTCCACCCTCGGTTAACAGCTTCCCAGGAGACATCACTATCACCGTCCCATTTGGAACCACGGAGACGCCTGTCAGTTGGAATGAGCCCACGTCAACGGATAACTCTGGAACCTCAACCCAAAGTTCAAACATTCCTTCCGGCAGCACCTTCCCTTTGGGAAGCACGCCTGTCACCTACACCTTCACCGACCCAACTGGAAATTCAGTCACTCGAACCTTCACTGTGAATGTCATTATGCTTGGTGAGTGATATTCTCCTCAGTTGACTGCTTGAAGGAAAATAAGCACTTTTGGACAGTGTAAGTTATTGAACTAGGGCACGAGTACTTGGAGTACTTTCTCAGTCATGTCTGTACCAAGTGCAAAGTGTTTTGTTTTTAAACTTCTGCTTGCAAAGGCCACCTGAAGGTCAAAGTTACAAGTTATTGTGGAATTAGTTTCCCAGAAGCCGTTGAACCAAGTCTTTGGTCGTTCTATCCCACAGCTGACAACGAGCCACCATCTGTGCAGACCTTCCCAGAAGATATCACCGTGACAGTCCCCTTTGGGACCTCCAACTCTCTTGTCAATTGGCCAGTGCCAACAGCGACCGATAACTCGGGCACGGTTAATGTCAACACCAACCGGGAGCCTGGAGGGTCGTTCCCGGTTGGCTCAACTCCAGTGACTTACACGTTCACAGATCCTGCCGGAAATACAGTCACTCGTACTTTCACTGTCAATGTTGTAGAACTGCGTAAGTTTGGCAGCACCCTGTCTTGGAATACAGTGGCATGTTGATTGATTTTGTTCACACATGTTAGTGCACAATGCATTTTAATTGAACGTTGTTGTCAGCCCATGTTTACTTTGTTTTGTCCTTAACAGCCGACAGTAACCCACCCACGGTTGTCAGTTTCCCAGAAGACATCACGGTCACCGTCCCCTTTGGAACCACGCAGACGCCTGTCAGCTGGAATGAGCCTACCTCAACAGATGACTCTGGAACCTCGACCCAGAGTTTCAACATTCCTTCCGGAAGCAGCTTCCCCGTTGGCAGCACGCCTGTCACCTACACCTTCACCGACCCAACTGGAAATTCAGTCACTCGAACCTTCACTGTGAATGTCATTATGCTTGGTGAGTATTTACTTCTCTTGAGTTGAGTTAACTGCTTGAAGAAAAATAATAATTATTTACTATTTGGATTGCACAAAATATTTTTTCAGTGATATTGGTAATGAGTACAAAGTGCTGTTTTCGAGTTAATCACAGGGCCATTTGATTTGTCCAATTTTATGTGTATTTTGGAGGCTGTATTACCAACTGTATTTCAACTAAGCCTTGGTCTTGTATCCCACAGCTGACACCGAGCCACCATCTGTGCAGACCTTCCCAAGGGATGTCACCATAACAGTTCCCTTTGGGACCACCAGCTCTGTTGTCAATTGGCCAGTACCAACGGTGACTGATAATTCGGGCACAGTCAGTGTGAATTCCAACAGAGAGCCTGGACAGACTTTTCCGGTTGGCACCACCCCAGTGACTTACACTTTCACTGACCCCACTGGGAACACGGTGACTCGCACGTTCAGTGTCAACGTAGTTGAATTGCGTAAGTAAGAAGGGTCTATATGTTGGTTGTAAACAGCGCCTTTGGATTTTTGTTGGGGGTGTGTGTGTCGGACGAGTTGAGTTGTAGGGTTGCATTGTAGTTCAAATGTATCAAGGTGTCCTAGAAAAATGCATTTTAATGAGATGTTAGATATCAATCTTGCTTTTGTCCAACAGCCGACAGTAACCCACCGACAGTTACCAGCTTCCCTAATGACATCACGGTCACCGTCCCTTTTGGAACCAGAGAGACACCTGTCAGCTGGAATGAGCCGACATCCACAGATAACTCCGGAACCTCGACCCAGAGTTCTAATATTCCTTCTGGAAGTAACTTCCCTGTTGGAAGCACGGCTGTCACTTACACCTTTACCGACCCAACTGGAAACACTGTCACTCAGACTTTCAATGTTAATGTCATTGAGCTCGGTGAGTGATAACTCAGTGTGGATTCCTTGAGAGTTTGTAATTCACTTTTTGCTTGGCAGTTGCAAAGGAATCCATTTGAGTTCCACTGAAAATAAGCACAGTTGTGTAATCTTTCAGCCATGAAAATATTTCTGTTGTAAGAGTTAATGTGCAGCACTTTACATTGGAAGGTGGTTGAACGGACTTTTTCTCAACATCAATTGAAGCCTTCAATAAAGTTTCATTTGTCCCACAGCTGACACCGAGCCACCAGCTGTGGAGTCTTTCCCCGATGACATCACAGTGACTGTTCCCTTTGGAACCACCAGCTCTGTTGTCAATTGGCCGGCGCCAACGGTGACAGATAACTCGGGCTCAGTCAGCGTCAATTCCAACAGGGCGCCCGGAAGTTCGTTCTCTCTCGGCACAACCCCGGTGACTTACACTTTCACCGACCCCGCCGGCAATACAGTCACTCGCACTTTCAACGTCAACGTTATGGAATTGGGTAAGTTTGGAAGTATCTTTCGTACAGTTTCAAACAATTGCTGCTCTGGAATTCCCTGATGAGGGGTAGAAAGTTTAAACTCAAGTCTGAAGAGTTTTAACACCAGTTGAGAATAGTGTGAATGTATTTGTGAACCAGCTAGTTTCATATTGGACATTAATGTTGACGCACGGTTTTTCAATAAGACTGAAAATCTGCCTAGAACTTTGCCGAGTCCTATGAAATTCCACATGCTGAGATATCGGCAGCACTTATCTTTGCCCTCAAGCTCCAAAGGACATCAAGTACCTCAATTGTTGCAAACTTCTGATTGGTTTTGATGGACCCGAGAGGGTCACACATACACTGTATATGTACTTCCAAGTGTATCTTAATTTACATGAAATTGTTTTGCTTTTGCTGTGATCTGCCAACAGCTGACAATGTCCCACCCGTGGTGACCAGTTTCCCACAGGACATCACTGTCACTGTTCCGTTTGGGACCACAGAGACTCCCGTCACCTGGGATGAGCCCACCTCCACAGACAATTCCGGCTCGTCCTTCCAGAATCCGTCCAAGCTGCCCGGCAGCAGCTTCCCCGTGGGAAGCACGCCGGTCACCTACACCTTCACCGATCCATCCGGAAACACCGTCACCCAAACTTTCACCGTGAACGTCATTGAACTGGGTAGGCGTTACTTGATGCCCAGTTATTGAGGCAATCAGCCTATGTACTGATGACGTTGTGCTTTGTTTACATGTGTGCTTTCCAATGGAGATGTGATTTGTGAGAAAGTGTTCCTGTATACAAAGTGTACACCAGCACACAGTGTTACATCAGTACAGAGGCCCAGTGTCACAATAAAAGTGCAACAGAAAAAATGTTTTTCTTTTTACATCTTCAGTAAAGAAACGGTTCATTTTCGTAGGGACTTCTCATTAATATTAAACATACTATCAGAGTGAACACTAAAACTTGACTAACACTGTAAAATTGTCCTAATTCTGACATTCGTAGAGGGCTGACTTTGAAGTTGTTGAACGAGCCTTGGACCATGGTCCAATCATTGCAACAAGCCTTTGAGCTCAGTTTCTGGTTCTTGGTTAATCCTACAGGTGACACCAGTCCACCAGTGGTTCAGACCTTCCCCAATGATATCACTGTGACAGTCCCCTTTGGAACCACCAGCACAATCGTCAATTGGCCGGTTCCGACTTCCTCGGACAACTCGGGTACGGTCAGCACAAATTCCAACCGGGAGCCCGGAAGTTCTTTCCCGATTGGGACAACTCCGGTGACTTACACGTTCACAGATCCCACCGGTAACACAGTCACCCGTACCTTCAATGTCAACGTCATGGCTCTGCGTAAGTATTACATAATAACCTTACAGGGATAACAAAAGCTCCTTTTGCTTTGAGTGAAAGATGAGTGCGTACATTTCACTGTTCTAATTATGGTTTCTTCGAGAACCCTTTTTCGTTGACTTTGATTATAGTTAGGAACATAATTTTAGAGACACTTTTGAGAACACATCACATAGATGGACTGATCCATGAAATGGTCATTGTCGCCTTTTTAATTCATTGACAGCGGACACCACCCCACCCGTTGTCAACACTTTCCCGCAAGACGTTACTGTCACCGTCCCCTTTGGAACCACGGGGACCGTTGTCAACTGGGATGAGCCGACGTCCACAGACAACTCTGGAACTTCAACCCAGAGTACCGACATCCCTTCTGGAAGCAGCTTCCCCGTTGGCAGCACGCCTGTCACCTACACCTTCACCGACCCCGATGGAAACTCAGTTACCCGGACTTTCACTGTGAATGTCATTGAGCTCGGTGAGTGTACTTGCAAATGTAGATGGATGTGAATGTAAAAAAAAGGTAATAGCTTTTTCATATGTCTCTGAAATCAAATTTTACCATGTTGTTTGGTAATCGCAAAGCAAAACTGTGTGCTTTAAGAAGGCTCATCCTTTTTTAAGGTCCAGAAACTTCAAAATGTTTGGTGCCAGAGGTTATCAATTTATTGCTATGTTAGATTTCAATTGAACTTTTTCTCAACTGTTGCTACAAGCCTGTGAATCAACTAGCTCGACTTCTTATCCCGCAGCTGACACTGAAGCACCAGTTGTGCAGAACTTCCCCAATGACATCACAGTGACAGTTCCCTTTGGAAGTGACAGCACCATTGTCAACTGGCCGGAGCCGACAGTCACGGACAACTCGGGCACGGTCAACTCCAACTCCAACAGGCAGCCCGGCAGTGTCTTCCAACCAGGAACGACTGCCGTCATTTACACATTTACCGACCCCAGTGGCAACACGGTCACACGGACGTTCAACGTCAATGTCAGGGTTGCATGTAAGTATTTTGTACCTCAGTCACTTGAGTCAGCTACCCACTGCTTATGACGAACAAAGCTTTTAAAGCAAAATGCCATATTTAAAGTCTGCGGGTAATATATTATGGTAGGCACATGAAAAATGTTAAAGCGTCAGCACATTAGGGTTGTAGGTACAAAAGGCAAAAACAGTTATGGTTAATTTTACTGAACTTACAGATACAAATCCAACGGACATTCTTCCTGAATTTGACCTACCGGTTTGTAAATGCCTCGTCAATTATAAAAATGTCATGCTTTATCAAACCATAAAAAGCCATTTCATAGCACCATCAACAATGTAACCATACCACGAAACATCCCTTGATGTTGAATGGAACTTCCATTTTCACAACTGTAAGTCATTACGATATGGGTGGTGGTAAAGTTACGAGCCATACAAATTCCTTTAGAAATGTTTTCACTGTAATTGTTCAATTTGAATGGCTTTTGAAAACAGCCGACAATAGTCCACCGGTGGTGACCAGCTTCCCTGATGACATCACTGTCACGGTCCCCTTTGGAACCATGGAAGCCACTGTCACTTGGGACGAGCCCACGTCCACGGATAATTCTGGAAGTTCCTCACAGAACCCCAGCCGGCCGTCCGGAAGCACCTTCCCCGTCGGGAGCACACCGGTCACCTACACCTTCACGGACCCATCTGGCAACACGGTCACGCAGACATTCACGGTCAATGTCATCGAGCTCCGTAAGTTCATCTGTTTGACTCTGTCTCTAAACATCGCAGCTTTTCAATTTTTTTAAAAGTTGGATTGCAGTCAGCTACGATGCCGAATGGCCGATGCTGACAGTGACTAGACACTTGAACGGTCCCAGGCAGCTTGTAATTGTGCAACATTTGAGCACTTCTGTGAGCCAAATACGTGCAAAATATACAGATTTCAAGCTTAAGCTGTGATGAACACAAGCGTACTGACCAAATCAAAAGAATCACCGTCGACCTTTGGCGACTAGTCAATGGTGTTTCAGCAAGTACAAATCACGTGTAGGATGACGATCATATTAATTTTTCAGGACCTCGACTAACTATAACATGGCCTTAATTTTTGTCACAAGCATTTATTAAGGTCCGAGCCTTCCAATTTTGTCCAAACTGGCTCACTTTTGTTTCATTCACAGCTGACAACGAGCCTCCCTCCGTCATAAGTTTCCCCAGCGACATCACGGTGACCGTACCGTTCGGTGTCAGCCGCACTCCGGTCAACTGGTCGCCACCAGTGTCCACTGACAACTCGGGCACGGTCAGCGTCAGCAGCAACAGGGAGCCGGGGAGCTCGTTCCAGCCCGGCACGACCACTGTCGTCTACACGTTCACCGACCCCGCAGGCAACACCATCACGCGAGACTTCGACGTCAATGTTATCGTTCAACGTGAGTAGGGGAATAGTTTTTTTTTGCTCCAGGCTTTGGCCCATGATTCATACAAATTCCAATGCAGGACCTCATTATGACCTCATTATGACCTCATTATGACCTCATTATGACCTCATTATGACCTCATTATGACCTCATTATGACCTCATTATGATCTCATTGGTCGAAAAAGAGGGTGCTCAAAATGAACATTCCAAACTTCCAATTAGAAAGGAAGGGTGCTTTTCAAGATTGTACTCCGTCATCTCGCAACTGTTGTCTCTCCTCAGCCGACACCACCCCACCTGTGGTCACCACCTTCCCAGCTGATGTCAGCGTCACGGTGCCTTTTGGGATCGACAGTGCCACGGTGACCTGGGAAGAGCCCACGTCCACGGACAACTCCGGTACCGCCACCCAGGTGGCCTCCATTCAGTCTGGAAGCAGCTTCCCGCTGGGCACCACGCCGGTCACGTACACCTTCACTGACCCCAGTGGGAACACCGTTGAGCAGACTTTCAACGTCAGAGTCATTCAGCTGCGTAAGTTTAGAAATAAGGAATCCTTGGAGATAGCCGGGTTTTGTATCTTAATTCTGGAAAAGTTTCAGTTTGAAAGTGTCATTGACTCCTAATTAATTTTGATCTTTTTGTTACCAACTTTATACCTCTGTTTTAGAAATTAAGACTTCTTTTAAGCTGAATCTTTTTTTCAGTGAAAACCTGTCAAAAAGTCGACATTGCTTTTGGAAATACTGTTTCATACTTGGCAAAAATACAAAATGTGAAATTTTGTCTTCTGATCAACCATTTTTTGCTGAGAATTTTGCAAAAGTTTGAAACATTTCAAGTGTTTGGTTATAAGTTACAAATTCACCTGGCTTTTGCCGTTCCCTGATGTATGAACCTGAACCTGCCTTAACAAGCAAACAGATGTGAAACCCTTCCCTTTTGTCACTATCCAGCCGACGACATCCGTCCAGTGGTCACCAGTTTCCCATCGGACATCACCATCACCGTCCCCTTCGGCACCACAAGTGCAGTGGCCACCTGGGACGAGCCCACGTCCACGGACAACTCAGGCACCTCAAACCAGAGCGGGTCCATCCCCTCTGGTAGCACTTTCCCCCTAGGCATCACGCCGGTCACCTACACCTTCACGGACCCCTCGGGCAACACGGTTACCATGACCTTCAATGTCAACGTCGTCATGGAGTGTAAGTGTTTCGCACGACTGTGGGCAGGGATCCACAGCCGAAATCATGGGGGGAGGTCGGGCTAAAAATTGTCTTCAGGGGACAGAACAAAATGTCGGAATGTTTACATAGCCCTTAACGATCTTTCTGAGGGACGAGGCTTCATCTCGGGGCTTTCCTGGAAGGGAAATGAAAGTTGCCTTCCTCTTAATTAAAACAAAATGTGCTTCTTTTATTGGGGGGGGCATGGACTGATTACCCCCTTGAAGCGCTAGTTCAAATGAGTGACTTCGGAGCTGGTAGATTTTGCAAAAGGTGGAATTTGCGTGTTCGATGTGTGTGCAGTAGCATGATTGCTAACGGTTCCAAGATGCTGGCCATTGATCAATTTACAAATGTCTTTTTTAGTGATTGAGAATTTATTTTCATGGTGGTTGTGCATTGTACCTCTTGCCCCTCAGCTGATAACGAACCCCCAGTCGTCGATAGCTTCCCCAATGACGTCACCGTGACTGTGCCGTTTGGCACGTCCAGCACCCCGATCAGCTGGCCCACCCCGACGGCCACCGACAACTCGGGCACGGTCAGCATCAATTCCAACCGGGATCCGGGCAGCAGCTTCACCCCGGGCTCCACCCAGGTCACCTACACATTCACCGACCCATCTGGAAACACCGTCACACGGTCGTTCAACGTCAACGTTGTTGTTCTGCGTAAGTCGAGGCCCTTCCATTTTCCGTCACTCCTCTTCCCAAAGCTGTGGCCATAGAAGTAGCTGCGTTTCAAATGATCACTTCCATTACCACAGCAGCACCACACTTGTCGGCAGGTGTGAACGCATGTTTTACATGCCTTTTTGACCAACAACAATCCACAGAAAAACCCATGCACACCCCAAGTCGGAGGATGCCCAGATGAGTATCGTACCCATGTGGTAATGGTGTCTCCCTAAGTTGGCCTATACAGACACAAAAGAATCTTGTAGAACCATTCAACATTTCTATCGATTGTTTGTACTCTGTTCAACAGCTGACGGTGTCCCGCCGGTGATCACCAGCTTTCCCGCCGACGTCACGGTGACGGTGCCGTTTGGCACGACGGGCACCACAGTCACCTGGGATGAGCCCACCTCAGTGGACAACTCGGGCTTCTCTTTCCAGAACCCCTCCAAGACCCCTGGCAGCTTCTTCCCCGTAGGCACCACCCCGGTCACCTACACCTTCATGGACCCCACCGGCAACGGCGTGGAGATGACATTCAACGTCAACGTCGTCGAGTTGCGTAAGTGTTCTAGAAGTTGTTTCTGCATTGACGGCCAAGTCCCACATAGATTATAGATAAGCTGTAAGAGTAAAAAAATCCTCTGGTCTCAAGATGATTTTACATAGACCCTAGGGGGCAAGGGTTAATACCGATGGAATGTGACAACTGACGTTTCCTTCAACTGCAACGGTTATGAAACTTTCCTCTTGACAGAAAGAATTTTCGACTTCAATTAAAGTGACGTTGACCTAAGCACTTACTTATTTTCATGCAGTGTTTTTTTCTTCCTTGATTGGCTGCCAAAAGGAAATCCAAACAGGAAAAGATGAATAAAACGCGATCACATTTGCAAATCTGGTTGAATCAGTTAACTCTCGATGTTCAGCGATTTCTCTAAAGGAAAAAAGCTTGCCTCATTTTGGAATGTTGGATCATGCATATACTCGTCTTCCTGTAGACATCGAAGGTATCCGGTAACAACGTGAACTTCCATTGGAGCAAGAGACTGCAGCAGGTTTTAATCTCACTTTCTTTTTACTCTTTTTTTGCCTCCAGCTGATACCGAGCCTCCGGTCATCGCAACATTCCCCGAGGACATCGTCCGGACGGTGCCATTCGGAACCCTCAGCACCCCAGTCTCGTGGCAGCCCCCGACCTACACCGACAATTCGGGCACCACAGAAATCGCCACCAACATCCAGCCGGGAAGTTCCTTCCTTCCGGGCACCACCCCGGTCACCTACACCTTCACCGACCCCTCCGGAAACAGCGTCATCCGGTCATTCAACGTCGTGGTGGTGGTTCTCCGTAAGTATACACGCTGTGTAAACCCATCGAAAGATGTCATCTCTATGTTCCAGTCTTGTGCGGCGTAGAATATTTTATCAAATCTGATTTGATTTGGGCTTGTTTGTGTACGGAGCACAGGATTTTTCCAAGCTAAGGAACACGTTTGACTTGTAAAGTCAAGGAACATTAAAGAGATGTTACATATCGATATTGCTAACAAGGTTTCTAGCCAAATTTACAACAGGGTTTAGAGCCCAGATTCAGTCCAAATTAATTTTTCGGGTTTTCCTTTTTTTTTTTTAAATATTTTTCAACAGCCGACACTGATCCACCAGTCGTCTTGACGTTCCCCTCCGACATAACCGTCACTGTTCCCTTCGGGACCGGCAGCACCCCCGTCACCTGGGATGACCCCACCTCCACTGACAATTCTGGATCGTCCTTTCAGAATCCGTCCATCACGCCCGGAAGTGCCTTCCCTGTTGGAACTACCCCGGTCACCTACACCTTCAACGATCCGTCTGGCAACACGGTCACCCAGACTTTTGAAGTGACTGTCATTGAGCTGCGTACGTCTTGCTTTACTTCATTAAAATCCTGGAAAGGAGACCGGGCAGTAAATAAATTTCTGGCAACCTTTGGGATGTTCACAGGGATTATATTTCTAGTGTGATACGTAGGCCAGATTTCATTGTATTGCAGCACAGCCGTTCAAGATTTTTGTTCGAAATTTATAAGTGGAAAAAAATGTGTTCTTTTGGAATGGGAGTTGCTACTTCTGAACTAACCTCTGCATCTTACCTTTATCCCACAGCTGACACTGAGCCACCGTCTGTCGAGACCTTCCCCAGTGACATCACGGTGACCGTACCATTCGGCACCCCATCCACGTTGGTGAATTGGCCCTTCCCGACTGCCACGGACAACTCGGGCACGGTCAACACCTTCACCAGCAACGAGCCCGGCAGCAGCTTCCCCGTAGGACAGACCACCGTCACCTATACGTTCACTGACCCCTCTGGCAACACCGTCGCTCGGTCGTTTGACATCAACGTCATCACCCAACGTGAGTGGCTAGACATCCCTCCGGTTATTGTCCAAATGAAAAGATTCTCTAATGAAAAAACAATCTTAACCGAAAATTCCATTGTTGAATATTGCAGTTTTTATCAGCTTTGAGCAGATTATTTGAATGTTATTTGATTCAATTGCTGTAATTCGAACTCGAAAATCTGAACAAACACAAAAAATTGCAATGCAGTTATCGTGGCAGGCTGAAATCATATTTGTTGAAGGAATCTTCATCTTCAGCCTCCAAGTGTCTTTGCATCGCGACTTCGACTTCTTCCACACCTGTGGTCGATGCGTTCAAGAACAATTTCCTTTTGCTCTCTTCCACAGCGGACTCGGTTCCGCCTTCAGTCACCTCCTTCCCGGACGACATCACGGTGACCGTGCCCTTCGGAGCCACCGGGACCGTCGTGACCTGGGACGAGCCCACCTCCACAGACAACTCGGGCGTCTCCATCCAGAACCCCTCCAAGTTGCCCGGCAGTACCTTCCTTGTGGGATCCACCCCCGTCACCTACACCTTCACGGACCCGTCTGGGAACATGGTCGAGCGGACCTTTACCGTCAACGTTGTTGAACTGCGTAAGTGTGGAGATTTTATGCTGATGGGTAACTTGAGTTTTGATGCCAATCTTATAAAAATTGGCACATTACTGGTCTGGAAAAGTGCTCATTTTCAACCGTACTAAAGCAACCAAGCCCTTGGTTCAGATTGATTTGAAACTTTCACATGCACAACTTGTACTGCCGGTGTTTATGCGGATGCCAAGTTCCTTAAAGGTTGGTTGTGAAAAAGCTGAGCAGAGGGGTGTGGAACTTGATTCTATCCAGCTGTGTGAAGGTAAAAAACCTGGCCCTTTGGGGGGGGTCAATGAAAATTGCGTATTTTAAAAAATGTTCTACAGAACTCTACCGCATGTATTTCCGAGTGATCCACTCGTGGACAGAAAATGCAAATTTTGTTGAGTGAATAAATTGTTGCCGTTTCTACAGCGGATACGGAGCCTCCTGTGGTCACCTCCTTCCCCAGCGACATCACCGTGACGGTTCCGTTCGGCACGGAGAGCACTCCAATCACCTGGGTGCCGCCCTCGTCCACCGACAACTCGGGCACCGTGGAGACCAACTCCAATCGGGAACCGGGAAGCTCCTTCCCACCCGGCACCACCCCCGTCACCTACACCTTCACCGACCCCGCGGGGAACACCGTCGCGAGGACGTTCAACGTCAACGTTAACGTGCTGCGTAAGTAGCGGCAATTGTTGTCTGTACAGTTGACCCAACCTGACAAAGTGACTCGCCGCAAGTCACCCTAGCCAGTCTTGACTCGTCTTCCTTAGATGTAACTCAAAAGCAACTCTCAACACGCCCCGATCACACAGCATACATTTTTATATCAGGATACCAAACAGACTGTTGCATTACAATCAAGAATTCGAGCGACTCTGTGAGGCGAGAATTTTTTGGGGGGGGGGGTCGGATCAGCCAACCTTCTGGGTTCAGAAGTGAAAAAAAAAATTATTTTGAGAAGTCTTGGATCTACCAACCAACAGTTTACCAATATAAGTTTAAAAAAAGTTGTTCCCTGTCCGACCACGGCGACGTCCCCGGTCCTAGTGCTAGTGGTAAGGAGTACCTTTTTTTTTATTTCTGTTATTTTGAAAATTTGTTTTTATTTGTTTTTCTTCAGACCACAAAAAATCTTGTTTTTTTCTCTGTCCTCTAAAAAGTTCTGAGTACCGACTTGTGATAAAATGCTGGCTTAATGTTAAATAGCTAAAATGTAACAGAAACAAGACCTAAGCATCACACGATGGAATCCAGACTTTGAAACCTGTCCTTTGTCTTTCTGCGAATAGCTGACACCCAGGTGCCAACCATTCTGACGTTCCCCTCGGACACGACCATCACGGTGCCGTTTGGTATCGACAGCGCCGTGGTCACGTGGGACGAGCCCACATCCTCCGACAACTCTGGGGGAACCTTCCAGACTCCGTCCAAGCCCTCAGGGAGCGAGTTCCCCCTGGGATCGACGCCCGTCACCTACACCTTCACCGACCCGGCTGGGAATGAAGTGTCCCGCACGTTCACCGTGAATGTGGTGCAGCTGCGTAAGTGGCACTGCATTTTGTCGCGTCATTTGCTTGAAATGAGCCCCTGCTGTGTTTCAAAACCCAAATGACCTCAGATGTGCTTCAATTTTGGCTTATTGGACCGTAGATCAAAGAACTAATTCTTCTGTAGTTGCTTGAATTCTGCAGCCGAAATTATTGGAGACTTTATAACGCAAATCCAAGCAATGTTGTGATTTTCACTTTCTGGTGGTTCTTTCCTTGCCTTCCACCCATGTGACCCAAGGGTTTGAATTCCATCCACGTCAGCATTGGATTTTCAACGTATACCAGATGCTCTATCTTTTACCCAAAGTTTTCTGTTTTTTCCCAAACTGAAACTAAACATTCCTCTTGTAAATTGCTAATTAAAGAATTTGGTTTTCAATTTTGTTTGCATTGTCCAACCCCTTTCATCTCCTTTTGATGTCATTAGGGGTTTGACCACCATGCATATTTCAGCACATGTAAACTGCCGTACAATTACTGTGAATATTGACCATTTTTTTATGTGCAGCCGACTCAACTCCTCCAGTGGTGACAAGCTTCCCCTCGGACGTCACCATCACCGTGCCGTTCGGTACCACCGGCACCCCGGTCACCTGGAACGAGCCCACCTCCACGGACAACTCGGGCACCTCCTCGCAGAGCGGGTCCATCCCCTCTGGCAGCGTCTTCCCCGTGGGCAGCACGCCCGTCACCTACACCTTCACCGACCCGGCCGGCAACTCGGTCACCCAGTCGTTCATGGTCAACGTCATCATGCTGCGTAAGTGCATGGGCGTTGCAGGGGTGGAGGGTCGGGTGTGGATAGTGCTTCCCCTAAAAAAGTTGACTCGATGTCTTATCAACACCAACCCTCAACATTTTCTGCCCATATAACTTACATTTTCATTGGAATCTTGACAACCAAGAGAGCTTGTTTTGCTCTCTCGAATGCAAACTAAATAATTACTCATAAATAATTGCCCTACCATTAACATTTGTGGGGTCCAGCCAAGAGGACTGAAAACACTTTCGACCGTTTACATTTTTCTTGTTTGTCACTTTTTCAGCTGACACCGAGCCGCCACAAATCGTGGAATTCCCCGACGATATCACCATCACGGTTCCGTTTGGCACGGACGAGGTCCCCATCAACTGGCCTGTCCCGGCCGTCAGCGACAACTCGGGCACGGTCAACTCCAACAGCAACAAGCAGCCGGGGAGCAACTTCCAGCCGGGCACCACCCCGGTCACCTACACCTTCACCGATCCTGCCGGCAACACCGTCACGCGGACGTTCAACGTCAACGTGGTGGTCGAACGTGAGTATGCGGAAAAATTATTCGCGCCCACGGTAGGGTGTCTTTATGCTATGCCACGCTATGCAGGAGAATGGCTTTTAAGTAGACATTTTAATGATCATATTTGCCCCCCCATTTCATAGACCTTCCATAGCAGAAAAATGTTGCACAGCCACAGCCGTGGCCAAAGTTACTAGGCCAAGGCTTAAAATTACACGCGACTCTATGGGAAGTGGCAAAAGACACTATCATAGACTCCTGTGTAATTTCAAGCCAGTCAAGTGATAGGGACATGGCCTAATTTGTGTGCTAAGCAAGAGTCGGCTGGGAACCGGTCACATGAAATGTACAGTGCATTGCACTTTGTCTGGTGAACAGATTTTCTTTGCTTAGTAAATTTCTGAGCTCCGAAAAATTGGGCCCATGTACCGGTGCTTCTACATACTAAACATGAGAATTATCTGAGCCTATATGAATCCGGTTGTTGTCTTTCAACAGCTGACACGTCGGCTCCAGAGATCAACACCTTCCCATCGGACATCACCGTCATGGTTCCGTTCGGCAGCACGGGCACCACCGTCGACTGGGATGAACCCACCACCACCGACAACTCGGGGACCTCGATCCCGAGCAGCAACCTGCCGTCGGGAAGCTTCTTCCCCGTCGGCTCGACGCCGGTCACCTACACCTTCACCGACCCATCGGGCAACACCAGGACCGAGACTTTCAACGTCAACGTCGTCATGATGCGTAAGTGTGGAGCCGCACGACCTGTCGAGTTCCCGCCCAAGTCTGTTATCAGCGCTTTGAAATTCCCCCAAAAATATAACTCGTAAAGTTTCAGCATGTATACCAGGATTTAATTTTAGGACTGAACATTGAAAATCTGATTTAGACCGATCTCTCCAGTGCTGTGCCCAGGATGAAGAGGCTACATTCCATATCTCGGAGAATCTTCTCAGTTTTGAAAATGTCTACGCCAATGGGCATTACTCTTGCGTACAAAAGTTGTAGTTTTCATCCTTGGCAAAGTGTGCCCAGCAGTCCGAAAAATTCTTTGAGGCAAAAGCCATTACCAATCATTGGTGAACTTCATATAAATGCGGGGCTGTCTGCAAAACGGCAGGATCCCCCCCCAAAAAAAATCTGTTGCCATCCACTGAGTTTCTTAATCTCTCCTTCCTTGTCGTACTTCCCCCCCCCAACAGCCGACACAGAAGCGCCCGTCGTCCAGGAATTCCCCGAGGACATCACCGTGACTGTGCCGTTCGGCTCCGATAACACCCCTGTCACCTGGCCGCAGCCCACAGTCACCGACAACTCGGGCACGGTTAACAGCATCACCAACAAGCAGCCCGGGTCTTTGTTCCAGCCGGGCACCACCCCCGTGATGTACACGTTCACCGACCCGTCCGGCAACGTCGTCATGCGCACCTTCAACGTCAACGTCATGGTCCTGTGTAAGTGCCGCCAGGCTGCTCCTGAAAACGGAGTTTGCTCTTTTCAGTTTCGGCACGTAAACCAGTTTGTCTTGGAACTGCAACCTACAACAGTGTTTTGCAGTCTCCTGTAATGCCTGTGCCAAACATGTCTTGAATTACGTGGCCAATCTAGGCAAACTCTGGGATCTCGTTTGCGCATTGTGTAGTGTTGAAAAAAAGCTGTCCTCAAGAACAAGTTGCTTCATGCATCAAGGCGCCTTTCCATATGTTACGTGATGCATTCATGCATTTCACTTTCGTGGACACAAAAATCAACTCCGTTAACATAACGCACGTGTGCATTGCTTTGGCCATCAAAATTGCCCCGAGAGCGATTTTGACGGATGCGCAATGCTTGGCGCAAATGTTTGACTTTCATATGAAATGGCCTCTTTAGTTTGGGCAAGGAAGAGAAATAATTGAGGGAAATTGAGGGACACGTTTCTATTCGTCATGTTGACCAGAAATTCAGTCAGGGGGTCCTTAGCATAGTGTTGAACCTGTGTAGTGCCTTTTGATTGGAAAAAATTTGACATTTCCTTTTTTTTTTGAAGTAATCGTGATAGCACATATGTACACAGTTGAGCAGCCTTTATACAGTTCATTTTTTAGCCAGAAAACTCTCTTCCCCGTAATTACCAAAGGAAATCCCTTATCTTGACAGCCGACAATTCGCCTCCCGTGGTCACCCGCTTCCCGTCCGACATCACGCTAACGGTGCCCTTCGGGACAGACGAGACGCCGGTCAACTGGCAGGAGCCCACGTCTACTGACAACTCCGGGAGCTCCTTCCAGACTCCCTCGCTGCCGTCCGGTAGCACCTTCCCCGTGGGCATGACGCCTGTCACCTACACCTTCACTGACCCGTCGGGCAACACGGTCGAGCGCACCTTCACGGTCAACGTCGTCAGGCTGCGTAAGTTGAGCAAAGTCCCCCTGCATTTTCAAAGGATTTTTTTGGGCCCTTCAAAATCTGTCAGATTTTCAAGTTAGTCCCGCGTAAGTGCATTCCTTGTGGTACCAGATTTAGTCCTGTGTGGTTGCGTAGGCAAACGTGATGGTTATCACCTGCATTAATTCTGCGCATCCTAACAGATCCCTGCTTTTCAAAAAAAATTCCTGAATTGCAAGTTTTCCTGTTTTCGATAATCCGTGGTCGTAACGGTCATTGTGACTTTTTCAACTTGTTTTTATGCCTCACCCTAATTGGGCTAAACAGTGCGGTTTTGATGCGATTTTGCAAACACCCAACTGCTTCAATTTGTTCTCTTACGGCTTATCATTAGTCATTGCTCATCTAGTATGTTCATTGGGTTCATTTCTCAAAGTCCCCCGACAAGTATTCTTGCAGTCTTGCTGTGGCCAGACTCTAACTTTACCATTCTTTTGTTAAAAAACTCCAGCGGACAATGTCTTGCCTCTGATCGTGGACTCCCCAGAGGACATCGAAGTCTTTGTTCCCTTCGGCAGCACAGGTACCAACGTCAACTGGTCCCCGCCGACGGCCACCGACAACTCGGGTACCGTCATCCCCAGTGCCTCCCAGGAGCCCGGCAGCTTCTTCCCGCTGGGCAACACCCCAGTCACCTACACCTTCACCGATCCCGCCGGCAACATTGCCACCACCAGTTTCATGGTGAAGGTGACAGAGTTGCGTAAGTGTCTCTCTGTTTTTTTACGTCGTCATCACGTCTGGTTAAGTTGGCAAATTTGCTTGGATCTAATCCAAGTCTGGCAAATTCGATCCCCTTGATGCAGCTAGAGTTTCAGGGGATCTAAAAGTCGAGCTGTGGCATAATTGATTTACTCCAGCCATGCCGTCTTCATCTTGTGCAAACGCAGAGAAGGTGTCTTTGGATGAAGGCTGCCTTGAATTTCTGGGATTTACAGTTTCCAGGAAGTTGGACAAAGGGACTTTATAAGAGGTTTTTGTTTTTGTCCAGACACGTCCCAACTTGAGCTTCCAGGGAACCAGTAGACTGATTGTGCCTGCTCAGTCACGCGACCCAAAGTGGGTATCAAACATCGGCAAGCATGGCGTCCTTCCACAGAAAAGAGTGTAGTTTACCCCAAAAATTAAGCCGACGGCCATTTTGTTGGTAAACATTCATAACACTGTCTTTTGCGGAAGAATGCCACATTTGCCCATGTTTGATACCCACTATAAGTCGCGTGACTTCGAGCGCAATTGGTCTATTCAAATCGAAACCATGGTGTCCGAGTTCAACAAATCTTCGTGGATTAGTTTTGCTGTCTTAGTGTGTAATCACTTGTCCTTCATCGTTCATCTGCAGCTGATACCATACCACCCATGATCACCTCCTTGTCCGAGGACGTGACGGTCACCGTGCCTTTCGGGTCGCCTGGCACCACGGTCAGCTGGCCCGAGCCCACCGCCACCGACAACTCGGGCAGCTTCACCACCACCAAGACCGACGAGCCTGGCTCCTTCTTCCCGACGGGCTCGGTCACTCCAGTCACGTACACCTTCACCGACCCGGCCGGCAACACGGTCAGCACCACCCTCACCGTGCGAGTGGTCGAGGAACGTAAGTATGGTTGCCCTCCGTGACTAACTTTACCCCTTCATGTTTGGAGACGGTTACAGCCGAGGCTCTGTGTGAGGATTAGTGCATACCACACATACATTCTATTCATCGTGCACCTGCGGTTTCAATGTGGGCCTGCTGCCGGACAGGGCTTTGCATACTGAGCATACCGCAGCCCAGCAGTCACGTTCAAAGGAATGCCGGCGCGAAGGGGTTAAAATCCTTCTCCCAATTTTTAAACCTTTACCAAACCTTTGACAAAACTTTCACCCAAAACCCCGGATCCTTCACCGATTCTTTTCAGAGCTAGCCTCAGCGGAAAGGAACAAAGAACTAAGTCCTGCAAAGTCTGTTTCAGCAATAACGGCCAACAATAATGAATGTTACGCACAAAGCGGTTAAAACATTAACCCTAACCCCCTAGGGTGTATGTAAAATCGTATTGAAATTGGAGGATTTGGGAGTGTTGGGGTTAAGATATTCCCTGTCGATCATGTATTATTCAATATTTACTTGTACCTTATCCAGTTATCTTCAATATTTACAGGTGTCCTTAAATGCTTAACCCTAACCCCCAAGGTCGTATATAGGATCGTATTGAAATTGGAGGATTTGGGATTGGACAGAAATCTTAGTGTGCCCCTCAGCAAATTCAGTGTAAAGCCTTTTTGAAAATTGGAAAGAGACCGTATTTTGAAATGGAATAAAGACAGCCATGGGCATTTTAAAGTGTCGGCGGCTATGAACTTTTCCTCTTTGAATAAATTTGCCAATGACTTGAAAGGTTCCGGAAGAAAATGACTTTCCTTCAATTTAACGTTAAATACTTTGCTTGAATGACATGTTGTGGATCATTACTTCGAGGTCACTTTGCAGATTGGATTGCCATCATTTCCAAAACCTCAGACCATGTCCAATATCTTGGCTGCAGCTAGAATGATGCATTCTTATTTGGTTTTTTTACAGCGGACGAGGTCTCCCCCGTGTTCATCACCTGTCAGTCGGACATCACCTTTCACGTCCTGACGGGCAAGGCACCCGTGCCTGTCCAGTTCACCGCCCCGACGGCCAGCGACAACTCGGGCTCGGTCAACCTGGTCATTCGAACCAAGAACCCAGGCGACATGTTCAACGCCGGCCGCACGGCCGTGGAGTACAAGTTCGAGGACCAGGCTGGCAACTCGGCCTCTTGCACCTTCAACGTTGACGTCGTGGAAGGTGAGCTCTCCAAATCCCTTTCATTTCTGGTCGGTGAAACTGTGAAATCGCTAATCTTTCACAGCACCGTTTCCAGGGTCCCAACTAGAAATTACATCTCATGGAATAAAAGTTGGGGGAGACAGTAATTAAAGAAATGTTTATAGTCGGAAAGAAGACCCTAAATATTACAGGAGAAATTAACAGACCTACTTTAACTTGTCCAGCGGCAGATTTTATGTAAGAATGTTTTTTTTTAGGATCCTTCCCTCTCCGTTTCTTCCCAAAGCATGTAAATGCAGCCCCACAACCGAGTTTTTAGTCCACTCGTATAGTTGTCAATCAAAGTGGGTTGTTGACCTTCGGCACCACTACACTGAAGGGGGTCTCGGTCCATATCGACACCGAAAGCTGTGGCCTCAACGGGAATCGCGTTACCCTTGATCGGTGATCCAACTTTTTAACCTCTGACCTTTTTTCCTCGCAGCCAATCCGTGCTCGCCCGAGCCCTGCCAGAATGGAGCTGCCTGCGTGCCGGCCACCCTGACCACGTACACTTGCATCTGCCCAGATTGTTACTTGGGCGATACCTGCGAAATTGGTAAATTCTTGTACTTGACGGTGATTCCCATGAGAAAGGTCTTTTTTTTTATAACCTTTAAATAAGAGTCAACTACTCGGGGCGTATTTCACAGACCTCAAATGTATGCCAAAATGCTGTTGCCAATTAAGCTCAGAAATGTTCTCAGTAGTGAAAAATGCCTGCTTAGCAAACAGGGTTACCAGCTTAAATGGCATGCAAAGTACTAAGCTATATTTTTGGGGTGGCTTAGCAGCTCTAGGACAGTGGACGTTGCTGGTTACCTGCCAAAAATGTTGTACGGTGACCGCTGCGTTGGTGACCGGCTCCCTGACCCATCCATCCGTAGCCACAAATTCCCCAGTTCCTCACCGTTGTGCGTTTTCTTTGACAGCCATGGACGCTTGTGAGAACAACGCTTGCCTGAACGGTGCCGCCTGCGCGGCCCTGGCCGGCTCCTGCACTCAGTACGAATGCCAGTGTCCTGCTTGCTACACCGGACAGTTCTGTCAGACCTGTAAGTACAAGTGACCGATAAATTCTAACCCTATTCCCAAAACCACCTTCGCGAGACCTTTCAAAAGTTGCATGCTTTTGTGAAAAACAGCATTAGCCAACTGGTGTATTTTTCACAAGCGTGACCATCTGAAAATCAACAAATTACTGCAAAGTCACAAGTTAGAGGGCTGACTCAATTTTAAACATGTCGGAAACCTTATCAATAACTCAAACAGCCTTCATTTCTTCAATTGTTGGAGCACGAGGGACTCCTAAAATTAATGCAGAAAATCGTTGTTGCCATTTTACAAACACAAGGGGAAACCCTTGCATACTTGGTCGGACTTTTTGAAATTTTTCTAGTGCTCCAAGAAGCCCACTGCACGACGGTTGTCCTCCCTCGACAGTGGTTCCAGCTCCCTTGCCATCAAATTGTCCATTTGTTGAAACTTTGCGAGAATCTCCTGTGGTCCACTGACAAATTCAAAATGTTTACACGCTCCTGCAGGGCCACCGACTTTCCCCTCCCCCAAAACACCAGTGCCATTGTGATTCTGTTTTTTTTCTTTCAGTTGTTGACAGTTGCGAGAACAACCAGTGTGCCAATGGAGCTCAGTGTGTCACCAGCCCGGACGACTGCCTGGAGTACACCTGTCGCTGCCCGCCTTGCTTCACCGGACGCTACTGTGACATTCGTGAGTTCTTCCACTCTCCCCCACCATCCTTACCCCGATTCTTAAGACCTGAGATGCATTTCAAGCAAAAATAAAACCCTAACCACCCCAAATCCATCAAAATCCATTTCTACGTTTTGCCGTGGATGTTCATGGGCTTAGGTCCAGAAGGCCCGAGGTGACCAGACGTCAATGCCTTACGATAGGCTCGACCCAGGAGGCCTAAAGCAACAAATGTGAATTGTGAAGAGTGTCTGATTTTTGATGGATTTGGTCCAGTGCCTAAACCTAGGGAGTTAAGGTGTTAAAAACCTGTCCACGACAAGGGTGAACTACTGCTTTCACTCGCATTACTTCTTCTCCATGTAGCCGTCGATGCGTGCGACAACCACGGATGCCTGAGCGGCGGTATGTGCGTCCCGTCCTCCCTCACCACCTCTCTCTATTCCTGCTCTCAGTACACCTGCTCCTGCACGGGATGCTTCACCGGTGCACGCTGTGAAATCCGTGAGTTTCCATTGTTGAAAAGCTTTCAAAAATGTTCAAGATTTACTCTGGAAGCTTGGACTTGAGCTTCGACAGTGGGAGAGTTAAGAATGTCTTGAGAGAGACGCAGGGTTTTCAGAAATGTGGTGCATTTCCACCAAATGAGTCTCGAGGCCACGTTATTCAGGCCTTTTTTAGTTTGCGTTAGAAGGAGCAAATGCAGCTCTTTGTTATGTTGCTTCCCTCAGTTTGGCCTGCTGATGGAAGTGGACCCTATTTTTTGGGGGGGGGGAATTGTAGAGGATTCCTATTTGTGCACGTTGTACAAGGTTCCTTTGAAGTCATTATCAAGCGTCTCTCGTGATCGCAGAGTTTAATGTTGATGTCGGGTCACTGCTAGTCACAGATGTGTTGGGATTGGTCAGTCGTTTGAGATGTGACTGATTAATTGCGATCTGATTGGCTGTTTTCCCTGTGATCAGAGCGTGATGCCTGCAACCCCAACCCATGCCTGAACGGCGGAGCCTGCTCGTCCCTGCCTGATTCCTGCTACTCTTACACCTGTCAGTGCAACGGCTGCTTCACGGGCTTCAACTGCGAAATCCGTAAGTATCCGCCCCCCATCTGAAGAATTGTCAGCATTTTGACCCTTTTGGGGACCACCCAATCTTGTAGAAGAAAATGTAAAAATTAGTTTTGTGTAGATACACATAAGAAATGTCTTTGGTGGATTTCTTGTCATGTGATTGGTTACTATATTCTAATTGGACAGTTCTGATTACTTTGGTTCCGAGCTTGGCATCTGTCATAAAATTACCAGCTAAATTCCATTAAGCTGTCCGGCCAAAAAAGTTGCATGTAAATGGCAATAATCAAACTTAAGAAAGAAGAAACTTGATTTTGCCTGACTGTGCAGCACACCACTGCAGGAAATCATATAGATTTGAAAGATCTTTAAGTCGTGTGGGGATGATCGGACTATAAAACAGCGTCAGTTGACCAGTTTGAATGGTTTGCCGACATTTTATCTCGTCTTGCAGCCATCCCCTCGCCATGCGACAACAACCCCTGCCAGAACGGCGGCGTGTGCAGCGAGGTGCAGGGGGCCTGCGGTGCGTACACCTGCGCCTGCCCCAACTCCTTCATCGGCCTCAACTGCGAAACACGTAAGTCCCTCGCAGCTCTTGTCCCTTTCTGCTCATCGGGGTCCATGTTTTGTAGACTAAACCACAAGTTGGTGCCGTTACTGGGTAGGCAGTACACTTGCACTCCTTTCCCAAACCCAAGGCCATGAGCCCTTCTTTGAAAGTAAAAGCATCATTTTGGTCTGTTGTTTGGCATGCATGTTTCTCTCGTGTGTGAGCAATGAGTACCATCAATGTAGCGGCTTTGAATTCTGGTTTCCAGATTAACCTTCAAAAATGAAAATATTTTTTTCTCGCATATTTGAGTGAACGTGGAAATCTGGTCTCTTTTTTTGGTCTCTTGTTTAAAACTTAGGAGTGCACTCTTGGGTTGAATTTAAAATTCAGTTCACATAATTATGAAGTAAAGATTTTTATCTGAAGTCTCAAGTCTCTCAATCTGTCAAGAATATGGAACTCGAATTGATCGGTCTTTCTTGCACAACTGTATTTCATGCCCACAATGTGATCGGTTTCCAGCGATCAGCGAGAATCCCAACCCCTGCAACAGCTTCCCCTGCAAGAACGGGGCGTCCTGCCTGACCATGGACTCGGACCACTACATGTGCCTCTGCACCGGCGACTACGTTGGGCCCAACTGCCAGACCCAGAGAGGTAAACCACTCGTTCATGGGTTAACGTCGCAGTGATTGATACACAGCCACGGTGAAGGGCTGAACAGTAGTCGTGTTACAAAAATCCATCCATGGCAGTCCCCAGTCCACTCATTTCAATGTACGAGTCTACAATCCATTCAAGTTATAAATCGTCAGGTGTCCGTGTGAAACAAACAAGGCCCTAAGATTGGCTTTCGTAATACAGGATCACAAATATGCTTTGAAATAAATCCCTTCCACACAAGTGTTTCCAGAGGTCCATATCTTTAGCATGCAACCCCCCCCTTCAAGAGCCTTTTACTTATAGCAGAATAAGCTCGGGTACCAGATAAAAGAATTTTGAAAAATACCTGGATATTGACGTGACACTCATTCATTGTTGTGATACTCGACCTTTGCCCTTTTTGTCACCGGTTTGTTAAAAAGAACATGCCTCGTGGCCCAAACAGTTGGCCGAACCTGCAGAAGAAAACGTTCACTGCATTAAGTAACATTTCCTGCAATTTGAAGGGACTTCATGATTGTCCTCTCTCTCCTTCCCTGCCAGGCAACGCTCCTCAGCTGGACGCCTGCGGCTCCTTCCCCTGCATCAACGGAGCGGCTTGCTACAATAGCTTCAACAGCAACTCGGGAACCAACACGTTCATCCCACAGTACTCCTGCATATGCGCCGACGGATTCACGGGTACCAACTGCGATACTGCTACCGGTGAGCGAAAACTTGATTTGGCATCAGTAAAAGTTTCGTCATTGGTTATACAAATGTCGGCATGTATTGTTTATAGAGGCTTGGGAATGGAATGTACTGCTATGGATTTTGGGCATGTCGGTCGTCTCCGCCTGATCCAAACTTTTGATATGTAGGCCAAATGTACATGTAATAACTCTGACACTAAAGCTAATGATCTTGGCTGTGACTGTCTGCAACTGTCTGCAATTATCTGTGATTCTGACTGTTACCATCTGTGACTGTCTGTGATTGTTTTTGTAGGAGATGCGCCAGCCCTGAACATCTGCTCCCTCGGGGAGAGGCCACCATGTCAGCAGGGTGCCCAGTGCTCCAATGCTTACCACAGCCTGGACCAAGACGTGGATTACTACTGCGCTTGCCCGGTCGGCTTCATCGGCCACAACTGCGAGACTCCAAGTGAGATACATACCTTTTCCTCTCTCGATTAAGCCTAGAAATCAGTGATGGGCCAGTTTTTAAATTTGTACAAGGGGTGACGAGGCAGGGTGACCAGGGGCAAACAGGTTAACGTACAACTCCAATTGATGACTTTGATATTACAGATTTTATCTCTGCCCGTTAACCCTAACCCCCTAGGGACCATGGAAATCCCGCGTAATCCTTGTTGGGTTCAGCATGGTTAGGGGTTAATGAATAACGGGTTAATAAATATTTCAAAAGGAGGATCAAAGTAAATGACATGAATAGGTGGATGACGATGCTTTGTTTCTAAAACTGCACACCTCTGTACAACCTTCATTTAGTCTTGGGTTTGTCATAAAATCAGTTTTCCCCCAACTGAGTCTTGTGCAAAAAAACGAGGAAGTCTTACAGCATTTTACTGACAACGGTGGAAATCTGCAGCCTTTTTCTTGTTAATGCCCTCAGTGAATTGTGATTTTCCCATAGTGTTTGTGCCCTTCAATTTCCCCTTCAAACCGAGTCTTCCAAGTGTCTTCATAGGCTTTGCTTTTTGATCCCTACAGTCAGCGATCCCTGCGCGAGCAACCCGTGCAGGAACGGAGCCAACTGCATCGCCTTCAACACGTACTTCATGTGCGAGTGCTTGCCCGGCTTTGGCGCCAAGACCTGTGAAACCCGCGATGGTGAGTATTCGAGACCGAGACTGAAATGATGTCTCAGCTGCTACCCCGATTGAGGAGTAGTGGTTTTGAAAAGCTTCCAGCATTTGTAAATTGTGACCAGCCAGGCGATATCGGCCAGGCTGGTGTAAGTTGCTGGATCTCAATAGTCCAGTGTCTGTAATCAATATTTATTGAGACACTGAAATAAAAAGGTCAAATACGGAGGCATTTTCAGAAGACAAAATCTTAGAAAATGCCAAAATATAGAAATGCCTTCTTTACACGAGAAAGAACCAGACAAGGAAGACTGACGACGGATTATACATGAAAAGACAATTGCAGTTCAAAACCAGGGCGACAACAAAACAAACACAAAGACAAACCAACAGACTGAGATGTAAGAAAAACTGGAATTACCAAACACTAGAAACTATTGTGCTAGGCAGTGTGGGCATTTTTACAATGTTGCAAAGATAAAAATGGCTCAGCAATTAATGGTATGAAATTGAGTAGCATTAATGGATATTGGTAATTTTCAATTTAAAGCAATCCAGTGTTTTTACTTGACCCTTTCACGGCAGGATTATTTTGACCGTGACTGCTGGGCTTTGGCATGCCATAAATGGAAGGCTTTGTCCAGCAGCCGACCCCATTGAACCAGTAGCTGCGTGGTGAATAGACTGTATGTGTGGTATGCACTAATCCCCACACAACGGTGCGGTAGTAGCAGTCCTCCCTAGCGAAGGGGTTGAATTTTTCTCTTTCAAATTTGTCATTTGAATGTGTTTTTGACAAATTTTTTTTCTGTCACTTTCAGGTGACACCACCCCACCATCCATTAGCAACTGCCCTGCATCCGTCTACCTCGGCAACAGCGGTTTGTCCGGCCAGACCGTGTCCTGGACCCCACCCACGGCCACTGACGACTCGGGCACGGTGGTCCAGGTCTACGCCTCGCACCAGCCCGACTCGGTGTTCCCTCGTGGCGTCACCCCCGTCACGTACATCTTCGCTGACCCTAGCCAGAACTACGCACGTTGCGTCTTCTTTATCAACATCGAAGGTGAGAATTTGTGCAACGTACATGCCCGACAGCTTTGGATTTGACAAGGAGTTGTTTGGCCCAAGGCACTTTCTATTGAAGCTTAGCGACAATGGTCATATGATGTACATTTCTTCTTATAAATTTACCCTCCGGGAAGCCAGTGACACGTTCTCTGTACAATGAAGTTTTAGGGGGCAACTCCGACCCCACTTTTAAAATCATCTGCAAAATCCTCTGAACAATTTTGAAGGAGGATTTGGAGGGGAACAGATTTAATGGAACCGTCTGACACTCCTTTATCCAGATGGCAGCCCCGTTGCTGACAACGTCCCTCCGACCATCAACAACTGCCCAAATGACATCTCGGTGACGGCTACCTCCGGTGCCAACATAGCTGTGGTCACCTGGACGGAGCCCACAGCCACGGACAACGCGCCTGGCACTGTCACCCTGCAGTCGCCGACTGGGTCTGGCTCCAGCTTCAATCTCGGCAGCACGGTGGTCACCTACACGGCCACTGACGCCTCTGGCAATCAAGCCACTTGCTCATTCACCGTCACTGTGAATGGTAAGGCGATCTCTTGTCAGTTTTGCTTTTGGTTTGTCGTCTCGCGATCGAAAAGCAGCTTTTGGCACTGAATTGTGGTATAGAAGGTCCGTTTATTGGGGGGTGTGAAAGTAACATTAGCAACTGTTGTCACTGAAGGACTTACTGCTCAATGGTTATTGGGAATCGTCGGGCGTAAACTGGCCCAAAACTCTGGAAATTGATTTACCCCTCCCTTCACAATCCAAAACGTAACAGAACTACAAAGACGCTGAATATCTCAAGCCAGGTTCTCTCCTTGACCGTGAATTTGACCATCGGTCCAATTATGTCCGGTCACAGGTTGCCCTGGAAAATCAATCAGTGGGTGACAGATGGTCACTGACTGAACTCGGCCCAAGTTACAAAAAAGAGCCCACTATTTATAGCCTGTTGCACTCTGCTTTAGATTTCGCTACTCTGGACGTTCTATGTGAAGGCTAATTCTTTTTTTTTCTCTCAAATCATTTTCCAAATCAGCTCCAGAAGACAACACTCCACCAACCATCATCGGCTGTCCCACAGGGGCAACAGCCACCGCCTCAGTCGGCGCAAGCTCCGCCCCTGTCACATGGACTGCCCCGACAGCGACGGACAACTCCGGCGGTCAGGTCACCATTTCGGCCTCGGCGCAGCCCGGTGACAGCTTCCCCGTGGGAGCCACCACCGTCCTTTACACCTTCACCGATCCATCGGGCAACGAGGCCACCTGCTCCTTCATGGTCGTGGTTAACGGTAAGCCCCACCCCCAAACCAATTTGAAAGCTGTGAGCCAACCTAGAAAGGTGTATTGCCCCACCACCAGAGCCACCTTCGAGTTAGAGGCATTCAAAAGAATCTCCCTTAATTTAAAGTAAAAGGAATCCACATTTATCCAGCTTATACCCGTGTGATGTTTTTTCATAAAACATGGCCATTTTTATCAGGATGCCAAACTGAGTAATACTTCTGAGAGCTGCGTTTGCTTATTGCAGTGGAGAACGAAACATTAGAAATTGGCCTCGAGACTCATTTTGTGCAATCTGGTCACAGATAGTTTTGAAAAAACAGTTTTACAGCTTTACACAAATTAGGTACCTGTGTGTGGTAAAATTGTTAAAACCCATTTAAATTTTTTTCCAAAATCTGATGGAGGTGAGCGTAATTTGTCAGCGTTTCTTCACCTAGCTCTTTGGAACTAGACGACCGGTGACAGAGAACATTTCTGCTGAGCTTCTGATATCAAAAACTGGACCAATTGAAAACATTTTCTTTGCTGCTTTGTGCCCAACAGCTGTGGAAGGGCCAGACAGGGAAGCCCCGGTCATCTCGGGCTGTCCAGGTGACCAGTCGGTCAGTCCGGACCCGGGCTCCGACTTTGCCACCGTAACCTGGGTGGAGCCCACAGCCGTGGACAACAGTGGCCAGGAGCCCGGCGAGGCCAAGTCCCACCAGCCTCCCGCCACCTTCCCACGCGACACCATCACCCGCGTCTCCTACGTCTTCTTTGACAACTCGGGCAACTTCAACACCTGTGCCTTCACAGTTACTGTCTCGGGTGAGTTTAGAAGTTTCTGTAGTAACTCGGACCTTCCCAGGACCTTGAAAAGTTTTCTTGGAGGATTGCAGGATTTTGCATAGTTGAGGAGTGTCGGTGTCAAGTATAACTCCGATTGGGATAAACGATGAAGGAAAATGAAAGGATTGCTCAATTCAGAACAGTAAAGCTCAACCTTGGGCATTGCGAGGGGGGTATGAACAAAACAGAAATGGCTAAAAAAAACAAATAGGGTGGGATAAAAATCACCAAATTGGTTTAAAATTCCTCGGAATCCTTTTGACTGTTTGATGCCGACAAGTGCTTTTGCGCCCCCTCCTGGGAAAAAGAACCTGGCGACGCCCACGAGCTCAGCTGCCTCTACAGTACGGCTTGAGGTGTCACTCTGGTTGGGTATAGAGCCTTGCCGTCTGATTGGGACACGCTCAAGGTTTCTCACAAAAAGGGGGGCTTGGCCCAAATTAAATATTTTGCTTTATTTTTTCAGGTAACGGAAACGGAGGAACAACGGACACCACGGACCCCGTCTTCACCAACTGCCCTGACAACATCGTCTCCTACGTCAACGGTCCGGGTTCCACCGCCAGTGTTGAGTGGTCGGTGCCCACCGCCACGGACAACTCTGGTGTCCCACCCACCGTGACCGGCAGCCTCGCTCCACCCGTGAACCTGGGTGTGGGCTCGACGACGGCCTCCTACACGGCGACGGACGCTGCCGGCAATCAGGCCACTTGTACCTTCAGCGTCAGCATCATACGTACGATCCCGCCTCTGATGTCTTTTGCCCGTTCTTGACCAAAATGTTGCTTTTTTTCATTTTTTTTTATCAAGGGGAAATTTTTTGTAGTGGAATATTTCCAATGATTTCAACAAAATAATTTAATCTTGAATTTTGTGGGGTTGCTCGGTGTATAGCAAATCTCATTCTAGGGATATTTATCCAATCTGTTCTGTTTTTTCAGAGAAAGTTTCTTCGGCCCAAAAATCCCTTTTACATTGAAGAAAGAGGGAATCGTTCTAACCAACCTCCCAGATCCTCGACAAATCCGTCAGGAATCTGAGGATTTGTTGAATTGCGAGAGGTGGAGCCCCATCCACTTTAGGGGAAGGACTTATCGATTAGTCTAAAGATTGTATTGTGCAGTGGTAGGTCAGGGAAAGTCCTTTCAAAATTTTGCACAGCTAGGTAGAGATAAGACTCTGAAACACTGATGCCTTTTTACAATATCTTACCCTGACAGTGGACACGGAAGCACCAACAATCACCAATTGCCCATCTGACATCACGGAGGTCTTGCCAGCCGGCAGCAGCAGCGTGTCGGTGCCCTGGTCGGAGCCGTCCGCCTCGGACAACTCGGGCTCGGTTTCGGTCACCCGCAGCGACAACCCGAACTCTTTCTTTGCAGCCGGCATCAATGTGATCACATACACCTTCACCGACCCGGCCGGAAATGAGGCCATCTGCTCATTCACGATCACAGTCACCTCAGGTACCTAGTCCCGCCCACTAACCAACCCCCCTTCCTGTATTTATTAACATGGCTAATTCTGCATGACCACTCGATGTTCGTACTAAAGTTGAGCCTGTCGTCCAATTTGTAACTTCCTGAAAATCCACTGTTTTTCCCAACATCAACCCAGCAACACTTAAAAGTCTTACCACGGTATCAAACCTTACCCGTTTTTCTGTTTTGGCTAAAATGTAAAAAATACGATACGACACTGACAGATGACAGTGGCCGCGGGTTTGGATAGGGCAGGGTTTGTAGAGGCTGTTGAAAAAAAACAGAAAAGTTTGATATTTTTTATCTTCAAAGATTTCGCTATCTGGTCTGTCTTTGCAGGTAATAACACTGGCAACCCCTGTGCCAGCAACCCCTGCCCTGCAAACCAGGACTGCTATTACAGACCCGACCCTCCAGAGTACCTCTGTCTCAGTGAGTGTCTCGGTAGATGTTCTTGAATAAACCCCTCCCTCCCCCTTATTGACGAGCCCACGTGCCAATGATGTCGTGCTTTGTTTGCGCGCGTGCGCTTTCCTGCCGGAGCTATCTCGGATGACGGATTTCGAGCTCCACAGGAGAGCGTACTTGGGAACAAAGCCAGACGTCATCGACATGCAGGCTGTATATTCAAACGGTGTCTGATCGTGTAGGTGATGTACACTGATGCACTTTGTCCATTTGCCATCCTTGACTTTCGGTTTTGGGCACTGTTGTGTGGTTGTGGTTTTTCACCCTGATGTGACTGCATCAAAACAGGGAAGTTGTAGCCTGCCCCCTCCGGCTATCCAATTCAGACATGAATGCAAAGGATGTTGGGTAATGTGGTCTCGGGTGCAAAACAGTCCGACTAATCGATTCAAAACGCAGCCGGAAACCGCTGAAAGTGTTAACCTCGCCATCAAGTGTAAAATTCTGTCGTATAAACTCCTTGCTTCTCCTGCCGATTGAATGTTAATATCCTAACCTATCAAACTATCTAACCGAGTCCTTTTTACTTAAAGACTCTCGTGTGGAAACAAATCGTGGTAACAAGGGCCGCATTGTTGGCTACTGTATACTAACTTTCGAAATGATAGATGACGCGTTGCTGTCACCATTACCTGGGACCGTACAAATGACCCGTCGCCCTGTAGCCTAGACTTGTAGAGGGAGATATTTCGGGGAACTCTTCAGTTTGTACAGCCCCCTTTTTTTTCTCTGTAAAGCGAACATTCTCAAGCTTCTATTACGAGTTTGTGCCGACCCCAGTACATTTTGCCATCTGTTTTCAATCGATCAACTGTTCCCTTTCTGTCCCTTGCCCAACAGATCAGAGAAACAGGAGAGATGTCAGCCAAGGTATGTGAACGAACAAAATTGTTTTGATTATTCTGTCGTGAAATTAATGTATCAGGTCGACTTTCTCTGTCACTTTGAGACGACTGTAAAGGTCTGTCTTGGATTGAAAAGTCCTATTCCCACACTCCGAATGCCAACGAAACCATTTTGTGTTAAAACCGGTGCAAAGATTTTTGAACTTGATAGTTTTGGCAGATTGACCATTTGATTGGACTTTCTGAGCAGCCTGATATTTGCAATTTCTATTGGTCTTGGTCTCAATTTAATGTATAAATGCAAACCCCGGGGGTGTTATAACTAAACAATCACAATGAACCACTGGGGACATTTTAGGAAGAGCCAGTGTGTGGATAAAAGTTAGAAAAGAAAACCCTCTAAGCACCCTTGTGTTTGAATTGAGATGCATCTGGTGTTGACTGGTGTCCTTGGACCGGTAACCGACTTCGGTATTGTTTGTCACACAGATGACTGCATGTGCCTAAATGGCGGTGTTTGCATACCTGACGGTTGGAGCTACTCTTGTGCCTGCCCAAGCAACTTCACCGGTGTCCTGTGCGAAAAGAAGAGAGCGAGCATGGGTTCCGGTATGTAAACTGACTTTGGAATCTACAGAAGTAATCAATGGTGCAGAGGTGGCATGAAGACTTGGAAGATCCGTTGCATGTCCCGATAAGTTGTGTCAAAGTGGTTTGCATTTCTCTCTGGAAAATCATTCAGGAAAAGTTCATTCTTGAGAAAATAACTTCAGCTCTTCACATCACTGACATGGATGCGTGCTGTGGAATGTTCTCAATGGTGTTTGAAGAGCAATTACTGATGCCAGTCACTTTGACTGAAATTAAGTTTGTCCACTTCAAGTTTTAAGCGACCGTGGTCATCTTTGCAGTGTGAACTTTGCGGAGGAAGGGCTCTACCACTCGATATGCACAAGCTTTTCCAATACTCCTGGGCGACTTGGAATTAAGCCTGCAACATTTTTTGTATCGTGTTGTAAGTTGTATTCCCCCAGATTTTTCACGGCGTTGGGGAAAGCCTGCTTGGTTTTTCAGAATCCCCTACACTCTGCTTTCGCGTTTCACTTAATGCAGATTCGACCAAGCCGCTGACCCCCATGGAGCTAGAGATGCACCAGGACCGGGACGGCTCCTTTGAGACGTGGCTGATGGGGGCCGTGATGGTTCTGCTGGGCTTTGTCATTGTCATTCTGGCCGTCACTGTCAGCCGACTGGCGCCCCGCACCGCCGCAGCCAGGACAGACGCAATCGACAAGGCTAATCTGGTCTACTAAAAAGGGCCCCTAGGGACTGTTTTGTGTATTTATATTTTTATTGCCGCAAAATTAGAATCGGCTTTTGATATTTTTTAACATTTTAAAAGTTGTAACTATTTTTTTAACAATAGATGTCTTAGTTTGCTTGAACTCGTTTTGATGTAATGCTGCGCTTAGTTTTGTGTTTGCATTTTGAGGAGCTCGGTACTCTGATGGCTGGTTTATCCACAGTTCTGGGTCACTTTTTGCAAATATACTAAAATAAAAATCATTTCTTAGAAGCTCACACATAGAAAACATGTATCTTTCCGTGCTATCCTTGCTAAGTGGTTTTTTTTTTTGGTAATTTGCTCTGTATGTATATGTAGCTCTGGGGAAATGTTTTAAGCGGCTATTTTTTTAATTTTTAAGTTTTTAAAAAATGTGTTTGCAATCAACCAAGAACCAAATTGTTTGGAGAATGTCAATCTTTTGTACTGGCTTAAATGGCCCCCTTTCGGAGTCTCTGTATCATACCCCTTTATTGAGAATTCTTTGAAAACATTTTAAAGGCTGAAACGAATATTTCAAACGCTGGTGCTTGTTTTTTGGATTTTACGAATGCGTTGCACGAAAAGCACATATTTTAAATTAAACTGGACATAATAGTGACTTCCATTTTTGAAAGGGTAGTTTTGTGGTAAACATTACAAAAATTGCAACATGAAAAATGAACAGTTTGTACCATAAGAATGACTTTGAAATAAAATGTTGTTTAATTAATAAGTCGTTTTTCTCGGATGCAGCTAAAAGATTTTTAAAAGGGGTCTTAAAATTGACGCTGAAAAGGGCATGCAAATTTTGAACACTTTTAAAAATAAAATTAAAACGTTTCTCCTGAAATTGTGGTTTCTGTGCATTGATTTCTTCAGTTGTTGATAGCCTTGTTTCACCCACTTAATTTCTTTTGATTGGCAACTACCCTTTATAAATGCTGTCTTGTGAATAAATAATGCATCCATCCAAAATAAAATACCCTTGTATGGAGATTTGAACCAACGGTTGAACACCAAATGAATGAGAAATGAGGATTTCAGTGGTTAGGAACGCCTTGACTCGTCTTAACTGAAAGAAATCAACTGAAAAAAGGCCTTGTCTTGTTTCCCCACTGGACAATTCTTTTCAAACAAATCCAGCCGTGCATTTGTGAGCTTTGTGAGATCTGTCTCGTTTAAATGTACTACAAAAGGAAGTCTTGTACCGAGACTTTGGAATTCATCAGGATGGAACATCCCTTGAAAAGTTGCCATATACGAGCCCCCTGCCATACAATCAGGTCAATCATAGTCAATCAGTTATACACCCTTATGTTGAGATACGGATCCTAGAGTAAATTCAAACCGATTTTCCTCATGTTCGAATCAAACTTGAAACCCTCCTTGATTGAAAGTGAAACTTATAAATTGCGATGTATGATATTAACCTGCCCGAAAGTACTGCAATATGAACATCTAACAAAAGACGCACGATGCAATAACAATGGACGCTTAGTGCACTGTTTCTTTTGTTAGATGTTCGTAGTGTGTATACGTGCGATCCCAATTACGACAGTCGGTGCCATTAGTAACAAGTTTAAAGATAGTAATGTATTACGTAACCCCCGAACATGGGCCCCCAATTTTTTTCTGGGAAGGGAAAGGCAATTAACACTTTTCCAGGGAGAACTTGTGGGAGGTCCATTTCGAGGTTTTTCCAAGTGCATTGCTGATCGTCACCTCCTTTAATCCTTTTTTTATTTCTTTCGCTTTGTTTTTTCATTTTCATTTTTTTTTCTGGGCAGGGCAATAGACCACCTCCCTAAATAAAGCTACACGACGAATGTCAAAGTTAGTCTCCAGTGCAGCCGTCAAATACTTAAGTTTGACCTGGGAGGTGACCTGCAGGTGGTCGCGTGACTAGACTCACGCCTTGCTGATTTTTGCCCACATCACCGGTGAAGGCGTGAAGTGTTGTCAGCTGACACTGAATGTACATGCACAATAGGTCCTACATTACATGAAGGCGTAAATTTATACGCCGTACATTAATGTTCTCGCGGAACGAGGGATTGATCAGCAAAAAACACTCAGAAAAAATTCTTTTTCCTCAGAATAACACCCGGTAAGCCAGCAAAGTGTCAGGGACACTGAGTTGCATGATCATGCCGTTACCTGGAGAAGATGAAGGATTCTGTACAGGCGGTCAAATCGACGGTAAGGAAAATGAGATCTGCTTGGTGCATCTATTTCGTGAAAATTTAGTGCAATTCCTTTTTGTGCGAATTAGAATGGCACATAGAACTGAATTGAAATAAAACAAGCAAACATAGGGCCTACATACTAGCTGAACATGTGAATGTATATTTACCCTCATTGCAACTGACAAACATTTCGTTTTTTTTTAAACAAGTTTAGAGTAAACTTGTCAGTTTTTGTGACAATCGAGATTGCCTAGGCTAGGGCCTATGAGTACAAGGAATATGATTTTGATCATGTTGGTGGTCCAGAAATTCTTTCCAAGAAAAACAGTTGTGCAGCATAGATGCACTCTGTGGAATTGAAACACAAAATTTTCCGTTTCATTTGGCCCATGGGAAACTGTTTATAAATTATAAAACTTGTGTTGTCATTTCAAGAAGGTTTTGGGATTTTCTAAAAAGGTACATTAAAAAAAGTCTGTAACTGGGTTCCACTTATTCTCAATTGGATCTTGGTTTTCAGGCTCTCTAGTCTTCAACAAGTCTGATCAACTGTATTATTCCCCTTGTTTAAAAACATTTTTCCAGCCATGGTGATGGCTATGATTGATACAGCATACGACAAGAACACGGGCGTGCGCACTATCATCGCCACGTCGTTGGTCAACATCGGCAAGAAGAAGCCGGGGCTTGTCCTGCACTCTTGCCACAACTACCTGCGCAAACACGGCAAGGTAGGTTGCTGGAGAAGCCCTGGAAAGAAATAATGCATCCTGACTCCGCATTTTGCAGTGGAAGTCAATTGTCATTTTGAAAGGCTTGATTCTGAGACTAAGGTGCTTGAGGAAAGTTGATGCCCCACTATAGACTTTGTATATGCGATCAGAAATTTGGCATCAACATCGGTATTCTTTCAAAATTTCCCCTGGGTAGTCCTTTGTGTTACATCTGTGACTGTGTCGTCGCCAGGTCCCTAATTTTGCCAACTGTCGTCAAGTCTGATTGATTTTCACAGTAAGTGGAATAATAAGTTACCTGGCGTTTATATGATGGTGGATGTTAGAGAACAAGCAGTGTTAATATTTTTCCCAGTCAGTCAAAAGGTCATAGGTCAGATTTACCCAAGAGTGAGGTACGCTATGAGTAGACAGAAAAGGAAGCCACACAGAACAACTTGGGTCATATGCATATGATGCTCAGAAATTGTGCAGTACGTACGTCAGGCGTCCTGAGCATGTTATGCACATGATGCACGTCGTTCTACATGGCCTCCTTTTTTATCTACCGTACGCTATGTGTTGTCAAGGAAACACTGTGGGGGAGTAGTTATTGTTGATGTACCGTAATGTGGCGGGCCCCTCACAATAGTGTACTTTGATTTTTCTCCTCCAATGCCGTGTTTTTACAAAAAGTGTAATTTTGTCAAGCTCTCAACTTTCCTGTTCATAAGCCTGGAGTTTTACTCACCCGCAACAAAGTGTCACTGAGATTCTATGGGGGCTTGATTTTCCAATTTTTCTCTTTTTTTGTGGTGTGTAATCATCTCTCAAAAAAGTGCCCCAACATAAGAAAATAATTCTCTGAAAAAGTTGTAGTTTGGTGTATGTTGTATCAGAATTTGTCAACTTTTAAAGAAATTTGATATGTTCGTGTCTGATTTTGTAAGATTGGTTCATGCGCGACACCTCATGGGAAACTCTGCTGATTTTTTGGCCTGATATCCTAATTCCACCATGTTTATATCCTGATTCTACCATTTTTAAATATCAGACTAAATTTGGTGACACTGAAATCCTTCACAAAGGTCCAACAGAATGTACTTTGATGGCAATAGAACCTGCAGTTAAATGTAACTGAATTAATTTGAATTTCGATTTCAACAAAGAGGTTCGTCAACACTGAGGAAAGTCGATGGAAACATCGAAGTACGTCACCTTAGGGGATTGTGATAAAATGATTAATTAAAAAAAAAAAATTAACCACAGACCTGCCCTGAAAGGCATGTCGAGAGATATATCTAATCATTGACAAGATAGTCATTTCATGTAAGCAGGTTGCAAAAGAGTCCTTCATCCATTTATGTGCATTCATTTCTTCAACATGTGCAGACAAACCATATAATAGTCACTCATACATGTACAACGCATATATTATCATAATAAAATCATCCTCTGTGTCGTTATGTCAAGTGCTGCAGACTTTGCACTGCCCTGGGTTTTGCAATAAATGCTGGTACCAAAATGCTGCCGTAGCCTTCAGACGGAAGTCACAAGAGCCAGTCGGATAATTTTGTAAAGAATAGGGCAAAATACACGGGGCTGAGAGGACATGAAATAATATATTTATTTTGACATTGGAGTGGACATGTTTATATCATGTAGATTTTTGACTGGCATTGCAGTCAGTCCACTGCATTTCTGTTCTGGACTGTCCATGTTTACAATGCCAGTTATAAATGATAGTTCAAAATTGAATAAATTTATGTACATGTGTCTATTTGGAAGTTGCTATCTTCAACAGGAAAATGGATGCCAACCTTGGCCCTTGATGTTCTCCGTTTAGTTGATAATGATCACAATTTGCCGTTTAGCTGATAATGATCATAATTTGCTGTTTAGCTGATAATGATCATAATTTATGTTTGCAGTAGCCCAGTTTCCATTGCCAAGTTGGCACAATGCCAATGTTATTTGAACATCTGTGAAAGTAAACCAGGTGACTTTGGTACCAGTGTAGGGTTCAATTACAGTATCATTTTACAAGAGCCTGTGTGGACATTGTAGCTGCCTGTGTCTGCCTCACCAAAATTTATTTAACACAAACTGGGTTCCAACGCTCTATCAATATAATCTTCACCAAATCCCAGCTTTTTGCGCCCATCATCATGTTCTAATATTCCTCTTTATCTTGATAGTTTTGTGAAGTTAATTGCCGCTTTTCAAGTGTTCCTTCATTTCATCAGGGGTGTGTGTGTTTGTTTGTTGGTTGGTTGGGTTTTTTTTTTCTTCTTCTGGATTTCAGAATTATGTTTTAATCAGAAAATGCTCTATTTCTTAGCACTTGGGTTGTTCGTGTATTGCAACGTTTTTACTTCTTTGTTCACCCTCCCCCAAACAAACAAAAACCCCAAATACAAGATTCGCATAATCAGAGCCATTTCTGAGAGATCATGTGTTCTGTTGAGATATTAAAAGCCTCAAGAAAGTCGCACTACTTTCTTGTCACTGTTTCAACCCCTCTTTCCGAATACTTTGGGCGTATTCCAAACCCCACTCTGCTGGGACTCCCAAACAGTGTTCTTGGGTTTTTTATTACAAATGCCGAAGTGCAAATGGAGCGCATCTGTGCTAAACTGGAAGATGGCAGTCGCCATTTTAACACTAAATGAAAAGGTGGCGTGATATTTATGATTGTACCATAAATTGAATCCCAAAATATCCATGGAAAATAGTCGAGGTAAATTCTCTCCTTCAGCTTATGTGTATAAGCAAGTCTGGTCGGAGCCACTTTGGCTCATCAGGCCGGTGTTTATCTCCGGTTTCCTAGCCATGAAACGATTGAGAATATTTCTATTCCCCCCTGGATGGGATGCCCGTCCATCGCAGGTTGCTTCCCCAGCTAACGCTGGTACCCATTTATACCCCTGGGTGGAGGGAGGCAAGCAGGGGTGAAGTGGCTTGCCAAGGGCCACAGCATACTGCCCGCAGCTGGATTCGAACCTCCAACCCTATGATTGGAAACCACAGACCCCAACCACTTGGCCACATGCTTCCATGTATATGAGCATTTGGTAGTGTTTTCCCCATTGTGAGGGCTTTCTGTGCAACAAAATTAACGTTAATTTGCGGTATGTGCCCATGTCCGCCATCTTTGTTCCTGATGTTCTACTTCCACTTCCCAGTAAGTGGGGAAGGGTGAGAATCCTGTTAGCAAACAAATGTTTGGGTGTTGATTCTCGTCATTCGGCACCCTATTCTCATGTTCATCCAACACGAGAACAGGGTTTTGAAGACGCCCTCTGTGAATTTCTCTTCTTGTCCCAATCTCACCCCTTCCCCCCGTTTTGCATCACGCTCTCCCTGAAACCCCACCTAGCTCCAGAAGGACCATCGGGTGGTCGTCCTGCAGACTATGGAGCGCATCTTGAAGGAGACGCTGGACAGAGTTCCGGAGCCGCTGATCCCGGACCTGGTCAAACTGGCCTCGGACGAGCTGACCGCGTCCAAGGTACGCCGACTTGCAGCTTGAAGATAGGGCCCATGAGTCTCATATATTACCTTGTTTGAGTTTGTTCAGTTTCAAGCTGTGGGCATTTGGACGCACGGATTAGGTAGATGGAACATCGTACATATTTTGGCCAAATAAAAGCTGTCAATATTCAGAGGAGGAAACATTTTGAAAGGGGCTTTTTTTGGGAAGAGGGCTCGTGCCATAAAGGGGAAAAATGACAGAAATTGTTTGTTTCTGTTTGTGTACAATCACATTTTCAGGATAAGATGTGCTTCCGCAAGAAATTGGCACAGTTACGGAAAGAACCGGCAACCAGTGTAACATAACTGTTCAGTTCTGAGACACTCTAAGCTAACGATGGCATAGGTTTTCATTCCATGCATGCAAACAATGGACTGTCGCGTAACACCACTTAGGCAAACGTCAGTTTGCTCATCTTGGTGGTGGGTCATGAAAACAAAAAAACCAGGAAAGATTAACGGTGGACATTTTGGACCGGTATTTGAGAGATTCCTTTGTTTCTCACGGAAATTAATAATCAGCTTTTGGGTATCATCTGGGTAACTTGAAATGATTTCGCTCGGAGCACTGCATGTTCCTGAAGGGACCAGCTTTTCCCAAGGGATAGATTTGGCTTTGTGCTTCACTCACATGAATAAGCATACTGTTCTGGATAGAACGTGCATGCTCTCACCAAGGACAGATGTGTCTGAAATGGAACATTTGGAAAGGAACAGGGTTTTAAAAAGAGCTTCAAGGAGCACCTGAAGTTGTTCATGTTGGGTCGGAATCTGGCATCAACCAAAGTTTTCTGTTTCTTGTTTTACTTCAGGATGTGCAGCCGGAGTGGCAGACCGCAGCCAGCGGCGTCCTGGTGGCTCTCGGTCACAAGTACTGCAACGAGGTGATGGAGGAACTGGTCCGCAAATTCCAGCCGGGGACGCTGCCGCATTTCTTCGTCATCCAGACAATGGCGAACCTAGCCACGGCAAATAGTGAGTTTACACCGTTGGTAACAAACATTGTAGTGCTGTCTCCGTTCTGTAGCCATCTGGTATGCTGCTAAAATGCTATTAGGTTTGTGCGCATACAGTTGCAAATTTGGCTGTGCTCATTCAGTCGCAAATTTGACTGTGCTCATTCAGTCGCAAATTTGGCTGTGCTCATACAGTTGCAATTTTGGCTGTGCTCAGTCAGTTGCAATTTTGGCTGTGCTCAGTCAGTTGCAATTTTGGCTGTGCTCATACAGTTGCAATTTTGGCTGTGCTCATTCAGTCGCAAATTTGGCTGTGCTCATACAGTTGCAATTTTGGCTGTGCTCATTCAGTCGCAAACTTGGTTGTGTGCATTTAGTTGAAAATTTGGTTATGTGTATCCAGTTGAAAATGTTTTGTACACATTCACTTGGAAATTTGATTGTGCACATGGCAAAACAAGTTAATGATGTATTTTCTTTGGCCCTGGGGCATATTTTGGCCACCAAAAGTGACAAATTTCTAGAAGCTTGAATTTGACAGAAATAGCCAACTAGTATGTTTTTGTGGGTCAAATCGTATCATATAAATTGCATAGTCATCTATCATCGACATGTTTGTCCCTGCAGCTGGCTATAAATCATTGGGGATTATTTGGTAATTAAATATCGGCATGCCGATCAAATATAGAACTGTTTGTAACATTAGAATTGATGAACAGGCCAACCATTTACATGTAAGTGCACGTATAAGCTATGTATAGTTTCATATTTTAATGAAGAAAATAATATGACTGCCGATGAGTGTTAATTACTGTTCTTAAAATAATTTGCTAATGATCAGTGTTGAATTCCTCAGAGAAAATAAATGCATGCTAGTCATTTATTGTACATGACACACCAAAAACCATTTAGTAGTTTCTCGTCTGGGGTGATTGATTTCATTTCCGCATCTGTTGTAGAAAGCATTTCTGTAACAAAGCATTCGATAAACTTGCATAGGTCATCTGACTGTTTTGTGAATTCCTGTTGCATTTCTGGCTGTGTTGTACAGGTGGAGTGTACGTCAACTAAATAACTTGAAAAAGTGAAACAGGTTTTTGTCGCTTCATGGAGTTTCACTTTCCAGTGCTGTTTTTTCCTCCTTTGTTGTTTACAGTTCTTTTATACTTTAATTGCAGTTTTTTTAATATTTAAATTTATATTTATTTATTTTGGGGGGCAAATCAGACAATGCTTATAAAATTGCTTAGAAGTATCAATTTAATGGCACTCCTGTCAATTTTTCAGTTTTTACCAGAGTAACTTGAGGCCAATTTTTTGTCCTTCCTGGCGCCAGCCGCTGTCAGAGTTTGAACTTCAACCCTCCTAGACCCTGCAAAGTCTATCAGGAGGTCTCAGAGGATTTCTTTTTTTCAGATTTTGGTGGGGCTGTAGTTTTTATGCCCAGCTACACGTCCTGTTCATTAGCACGGGGCACGATGCCCCCTGGAAATTCAAGCCTGGGAAAAACGTACCAGTAGTTAGCTTCCCTTGGAAATTTTGAAGAATATTGGAAGATTTAAAAAGACTGCTGCAAGTTTGCTTCAGACAATTTTTGACTTGGGGGACAACACATCGTGTTCATTTCATTACCAACAGATTGTTAGTGTAAAATGTTAATATTATGATATCCCTGCTCGTCGGCCTATGTGTATACACAATCCAAAAGCCATTTCCTCTCCCTGGGGAGTGTGCTGTTTGAATGCCACCATGCTAGGTGAAAATGGCCAATCAAACACAGCAACCCGTCGCCGTCCTCGCACATACCGATTTATGCTCATAAGTGGGGAGAGGCAAGTTAGGGTGGAGTGGCTCACCCAAGGTCACAACACGTATGCAGCTATAGGTTCCGAACCCCCAACCCTGTGATCGGTAGTTGCAAATCCTGGCTATTTTGGCCACGTGACATCCAGAGGCTCCATGTCAACCACTGTGTATCTTTATAGGCTTTCTTTTTGTAGCTGCATCATATTTGGTTTGGGTTTTTTTGTCGCTGGCCATTGTATAGTGTTGTACATGTAGTCGAGTCCTTACAAGCTCCTGCAAGTCCATCTCAAGTCCATCTCAAGTCGTCCAATCTTAAGCCAATTCACAGGCTATTCAAATGGACTGTCACAAGAATATTCGTTTGTCACTGTTCACCGTGTCGCCTATGACCAGTCTCTTCAAAGGACTTGTGACTGTACCTTTGAAGGGAACTTGTAACAGGCTTGTAAGTTGCGATGGACTCACGCACAACACTGAACGGCTGTTTTCCTACCGACAGGTTTTGGATTTGTGCCATTTCTTACGGCTACCCTGGGAACCCTGCTACCCATGCTGGGCATGGCCAAACAGGACAACATGAAGTGGGTCTGTGTGCACGGTAAGTTGGGATCTGGTTTAGCCTGGTCATTAGGTCCAGAAAACGGGATACTGTGAGACTGGTCTGCGTGCATAATAATTCGTGATCGGGCTACAACACAGTGGCATGTGACTTGCACATGATAATCCAAATAAATAGTTCAGAAAGGGCAAAGTGACAAGAACCAAGATAGAAACAATCGAAGATTGTGCAGTTTCTAAACTGATTATAGGATCTACTTCTGACAACTAAACTGGCTCGTTTCGAATTTACAAAATCAGCCGCTGAAACCAGCTGTCCTCTTTTGAAAGTGTCCCCATGCCCTGGTGAGCCAGCCCCTGTCCTTTTGGGAAGAGTCGCCCTAAAGTAGCTCCATTCCCATTGGTCTTCGTTTCACAGCACTTGGCTCGTTTCAGCGAGAGCATTGAGGACTACGTGGCCAACATCGACAGCGCCCCCGACCCCACCATCACCAAGACCACCTACTCCACCCAGATCTTCACCGCATTCGACCACATCTTCAATGCCTGGCAACAGTCCAAGGAAGCCAAGGTGGGAGCCCGTGTTGACCCAGCCCAACTAAACGAGTTGCAAGTCGCCAGGGCCACGTTTGAGCCGATGGCCTGGGAAAGAAATCTGACACCAGATGAATCGATAGGAGCCCTCGACACTTTTCACCTTTATAACGCTCATTTCAGGACGCTGTACTGAATGAGACATCAAACCAAATCCCAGGTTGCTCTTTCCGCTGCAAACCGAGACAAAATTACCGGGCGAAATGGCGTTAAAGACTCATTTTGCGTGATCAGGCTTACATATAATAGCATGTTAGGCCCCCCCAAAAAGTCTTTCTTCTCTAGTCAGTGCGTGCGTTGATTTGAAGCATGCTCGCGTCAGTCTTTTTTTTTTTCTGTGCGAGAGCTTGACCAGCGCCCTCTATTGGCACACTGCCTCAACATTTTTGTGGGCAGCTCCATCTTTTACTCAGGGCAATAGATCCCAACGAGATCGATGTTGAACAATGATAGCAGACCATGGATACAAAGTTATTTGTTGTCAGCGTATAATCATAATGAAGCTGGTCTAGTCCCACAACTCGATAACGTGTCTGCCATTGTCCGTATAGTGCATCCCTGGAAGGGGGGAAAAAAAGCCGTGTCACGGCATCAGTTTCAAAACATCAATTTGATCGGAGACAAACTACTTTTTTTAAGGGGTCCTTACCCCGAAAAAGGTGTTCATCAAAACAGATAAAACTTGTAAAACTCCATTTGAATCTGACTACACTGCCAAGTAACTCTTTCCTCATGCATTGAATCATCCACTGAGCAGCATTGATTTGCATTGGAACGAATCTGACAAAAACCCATGAGTGTGATTGTTCTGCTCGTCTCGCAGCTGCGTTTGATGGTCGTGGAAGCGCTGGGCCACATGTCCAAGATAATCCTCCAGGAACGCTTGGAGGAGCAGGTTCCCAAGCTGATTCCGTCCGTCCTCAACTTGTACAAGAAACATCCGGAGCCCTTCTTCGTCACACAGGTTCTTGCAGTTGCCTCTTTACTTGAACAGTGCTACGGCACTTTGATGCCTGTCATTACTCGGTGTTTTGACTTTTGTCATACGCAAAGTTTCTGAAATTAAACAGGCAGTCTAAGTTAGTGGAACAGTCCAAATATTCTGATGATATTTTGATGCCTGTTATGCGTCAGTGTTTTGATTTTTAAAACTTTTTTCAAACATCTAAGGAAGTGGAATGATTGTAAGTCATGGTGTAAACTGTACCGATATCAAGAATTCAAGTTTTAGGTCCGACGCTGTGTATCTATCATAATGTTGCCGAGGCAGGCATTGCTCCTTAGAACGTTTCATTTTGAGAATTAAACTAAACAATCGAAATAGTTGATTCTTGTTCAGTGTAGATCACTAGCCAAGAATGATCGTACTCACAAACCCTACCGATGTTGAAAGTGACATGGATGAAGTGCGTGTACAATTAAAGTGGGGTCTTTTATTTCCCGACAGGGATTGTGTATGATTCTAGAATCAGCCGTTGCCGACGGAAGCACCATGCTGGAAGCACAGTTGGAGATCATACTGAACACACTTCATGCCCAGGTGAGAAAACAAAGATATGCCTCCCCGGGGCAATGCTGAACTGGCACCACCTCTGACACATCTCCCTTCCCTCCGTCCTCCGAGACCACTACTAAAAATGCAACACTAAACGCTGTGCATGCCCAGCTATGAAAGATAACATCAACAACCGTCGTCCTCTCCCTCTGGCCCCACAAAGTGGGACCCACTCACTCCACCTTTAGAGAATTTAAGGTATAACAGGTGGTTGCAAAAGTAATTTGGTTCAGAGTTAAAAACGTCAGTTGTTTTGACCAAGAGATGGAGTTTGGCTCAAGCCCATAAGCCAAACCTGAACACGGGGCAGAATTGGCTTCAGTACATGACCGTGTTTGGTCTGCTAAAAACGATTTTTTAAGGAATATGAAAATTGAACAAAATTGAATTGACAGTCTTTTAAAAGAGGATGTCTTTTGTCGTAAATTCAGGTTATTATTCCGATTAATTTGTAGCTACCTAGCTCGGTCAATCTAAGCATTTCACATTTTCACCAAACAGTGTGTAAGTTTCTTCCTTAAGGGATTACTGTTCACAAATCTTTAAAGGTTATAGATTGTTAAAAGCTATTGAGAGTGTATGCAGATGGAATATTTTTACAATTAACTCTCCCAAATTGATCCTTTGGAAGGTGTGCGTCCCACCGGATTTCAACCACCCCTTGACCATGAAGAATCACAACGAGCTACTCCGTTGCTTCGCCATCGTGGCCCGTTCCTTCTCCGACCGGGTGGTGGCCTATCTGCTGCAAAAACTCGAAGGCAACGAGAAGGTCCGCATCGGCACTCTGGCCGTCTTCAAGCAACTCATCAATTCCGCTGGTATGGATGAAAAAAAAAGAAGAAAAGAAAAATGGACAATGGTTCAAAAACTTCAAGGGCTTCTCATTGGCGTACTCGGGATGTAAAATTACTTTCCTTTCCAGGTTGACGCAGTTCCCTTCATGCATGCGAGTTTTCATTGCAAAAGCCAGAGTTCTGGCTTCTTTTTTTATCTAAAATTATCGACAAATTTCAGGACATGATAAAGTTTATATTTATGCTCCTTATCTTTGGACTCTTGACGAGAACCTGGCTGGCACCCCTGTCTCTTTATCTTGATTCCCAAGCCAGATTTGGCTGAGAACTTTCCTAAATCCTAACAAATCCTGCACTGTGCAGAAAACCAGTGGAAGAGTCTTCGTACTCAAACCTATTAAGACATTTAAGTCCCATCCGGAGCAGCAGAGACGATGCCCATCTTTTCAATTGTGTGAAACCTGTGAGAGTTTTTTATAAACTGATGAAGATATTCCCACAGGGGATAACAGACCCTGCGTTTGTGGAAAATCAGTAACCGTAGATTTTTCCAACCAAAGGGAATAACATGTGGTTAGGGTTTGTAACTTCTATTCGTAGGCTTCGGGGTTTAAATCTCGGCAGGTGGTTTCATGTTGTGACCTTAGGCAGGTCACTTTACTCTATGTGTGTCTCTTCACCTAGGAGTAAATGGGTACCTATGGGGACAGATGTGGTTATTGAATTTAGCTTTTTGCATATGCAGCAAGGTATGAGACG